CCCCATGCACAAATTAGAGGAAAGATTTACTTTGGCTCATAGTTTCTAAAACCTTCAGTCAATAGTCCGGTGGCTCCAAAGCAGGGTAGCATAGCAGAGGGGCCTGGTAGAGGACAGCTGCTCACAGCATGTTGGACAGGAAGTGGGAAATACGAATTCAGAAGCAGGGGAGAATAGTACTTCCAGGTCAAGCACTTGGTGATAGGCCTCCTCAGACCAGACTCCTACTCCCAACATCACATTTAGTTATAATTTCATTGGTGGGCAAATACATAGATGAGTATCTCACTCTCATGATCCAATCAACTTCCAAAGCCTCACCTATAGGTATATGAAGGTTTGGGGAGACATATAAATATAAAGCATAACATTCTGTTTCTGGGCCCCAAGAGACTCATATACGTCTCTTAATGTAAAATGCTTTTGTTCCAGCCTTAAGAGTTGTCAAAGTCCAAAGAGTTCCATCATTATTGAAAAGTCAAATTTCAAAGTCTTTTTTGAGACTCATACTATACTATTAGCTATGAGCCCTTGTAAAAGTTAACAGAAAGTTGAACCCTGCTGTCATACAAAGATAAAAGGTGATCATTCCCAGTCTGAAAGGGAAAAATAGAATAGGAACCAATAGGACCAAAGCAAAACTGAAATCTAGCAGAGCAAACATTATCTCTTATAAGTACATATCTAGCATGCAGGATAAGTTGTATGGAGATGAGAATCCCAAAGGGCAGCCCCACTCCTATGGCATTGCCAGTGATTGTAGCCCCATGGCTTCTCTCTTGGGCTGGCTTCGCTCATTGCTTACAGCTTTCCCTAGATGTTTAATGTTTCTGGCTTCTTGAAATTTCTGGGGTCTCCACTGAACTTTTGGATTCACTCTCACAACTTTATTCACTGACCTCTCAGACCACAATGCCATCTTAAGGATACATTGCCTGGCCTCCCAGATCTTCTTCTGAATCTAGGTGGAAGGCTGCTTGATCCCCATAACATTTATATTTTGCATGTCTGCACAGCCAGCATTGTGTGGAAATATCAAGGTCTGCTGTTGGTTTAAGCAGTAGCCAGAGTCTCTTGTATCATGACTGTAGAGGACTTCAAGTGCTGGTTGGTTGAGCACTATGAACAAAATTCCAGGGAACAAATTTCTTAGGTGGCCATTCAAGAGCACTGGGCCCTGGGGTTCTCTTCTCAAATTAAAGCCTTTTACTTTTGCAATTTTCAGACTGGGAGGGATAAGGCCTAGCTGTTTCCTCACATACCCTTAAGTCATTTTTTATTGGCTTGTTGTAAAATAATTAGCTTTTATTATTTTATTCTTAATCTTTTTAGCAACCGAACTCTCCTGTGCTCCATCTTTGTAGGCCCCAACTTTTTTCCTTTCTGGCCAAACTAACAACTCATACATATTTTGCTCTATTTTTATTATAAAGCTTACTAAAATCCCCGAAGTATTTGTGCCACAGACTGAATGTTGTGCTGTCTTTAACATCCTCTGCCAGAATAATTATGCTACCACCCTTAATGTCAGCCTCCCACAAAGTCTCAGGACATAAGAAAAATATAGACAAATTTTCTGCTAGAGCATAACACATGTGGCCTGAAAAACAAAACTGGTGAAGTCCTTTCTCCCAGCTGAAACTAGTTAAGGATAGTATTTATCATTTGTCTTTGTAAAAAAAAAGTAATACTTGTTTGGCATGCTTAATGGACACTCATTAAGGGTATTAATACATGTACACAACAAATTTTAAATCTTTTTCTGTCCCCTTTTCCCTTCTCCCCACCTTGAGACTCTTGGTCCCCTTCACATTTGCAAAAGATCTAGCTCCCTGTTTACTTTTCCCCTGTTTACTTTTACCAATACTTTATTTTGTTCTCTAATTTATTTGTACTTTCTATTTCTCATATGGGAGAAATCATATGATATTTAAGATTCTGTGTCTGATTTTACTTAACATGTTTTCAAGGTGCATCTGTTTTCTTACAAATATCTCAAATTTACCCTTTTTGTCCTGAGTAATATTACATTGTATACGTAACACATTTTTCTTTATCCACTCATCTGTTGATGGACATATAGGCTGCTTCCAAAATTTAGGTATTGTAAATTGTGCAGCTATTAATATTGATATAAATGTATCAATGTAATATGATGTCTCTAACTCTTCTGGAAAGATAACTAGAAGGGGAACAACTGGATTGAATGGAAATTATATTTTCAGTATTTTGAGAAATATTCAGAATGATTTACATGGTAGTTGTACTGGTTTACATACCCACAAGCAATGTAAGAGGGTGTCTTTTTCATTACCACCACACCAGCATTTGTTATTATTTGATTTCTTCATGATTGCTATTCTTCCTGGAATAAGATGATATCTCAGTGTGGTTTTAATCAGCATTTCTGTACTGTAGGTGAAATAGAATATTATGTATTTATTGGACGTTTGTATTTCTTCTTCTGAGACATGTCTATTCATTTCAGTTGCCCATTTTTTGAATTGGGTCTTTTATTTTATGAGGCCTAATTTTTTTAACTCTTTATATATTTTATTTTTAATTTAATTTAATATAATTTTTTGTTTTTGTTTTCCAGTACTGGGAATCGAACTCACGACCTTGTGCTTGCCAGGCAGGTGCTGTGCCTCTGAGCTAAATCCCCAGCCTCTCTTTATATATTTTAGATATTAGTCCTATGTCCAAGTTGTAGCTTTCAAAATTTTTTCCCATTCTGTAGGTCATCTATTTACTCCATTGGTTGTTTCCTTTGTTGTGCTGAACACTAATTTTTTGTGTTCACATATATTCTCTTGCTGTTATTTCTTGTGCAATTATATTTTTGTTTACAAAGTACTTGCCTACACCTATGACTTCAAGAGTTTTACCTAGTTTATATTTCAGCAGGTTAAGTGTTCATGTTTTAATAATTAGACCTTTGATCTAGTTTGATTTTAGTTTAGTATATAGTGATAGATATGGGTCTAGCTTCAATCTTTTGTATATAGATACCCACTTTTCCCAGCAACACTTGCTAAAAAGATTGTCTTTTTTTCATCATATATTTTTGGACCCTTTGTCGAAGATTAAATACTTGAGTGGGTTTGTGGTCTTTTTTTGAGTCCTTTGTTTTGTTGATCCACAGGTCTCTTTTTGTCCCATACAATGCAATGATTATCACTGTACACTTGTAGCATAATTTGAAGTGATATATTGTGATGCCTCCTACCTTGCTTTTCTTGTCCAGCAATGGCAATGGAACTATGGGCCTCTTTTGATTCTATATGAATTTTAGGATTGCTTTCTCTAGTTCTTTGAGGAATGCTGTTGGTATTTTGTTTGGGATTTCACTAAATATATATATATATATATGTATATAAATATGATATATAATATAAATATATACATACATATAATTTTTGGAAATATGGCAATTTTGACAAAAGTAGCACTGTCTATCCAGGAACAGGGGATGTATTTTCATTTTCTGATGTCCTTTCAATCTCCTTTTTCAGAGTACTGTAGTTTTCATTGCATACTTGTTGACTTCCTTAGTGTTATGACTTGTGTTTCCCCCAAACCTTGTGCAGGCATAGGAGGGCTTTTTCAGAGGTTGCTGGATCTAGAGTGTGCGACACTGGAATTGATTCATGGTGCAATGCTAGGATCAAGGGCATTAGGACTGCAGGTGTCAGTGCTACCCACCTTAAGTAGCCTAGATAAGAGATAAGGGTTAGAAAGACCTGTGGTGGTCCCTTGCTGCTTATTGTCTGCCTTCCATCAACTGTTTCTCCTTTGTGTTGCCTGTCTGCCATGAGAGACAGCAGACAGACATGAGAGACGTTCTACCTTGGAGCCAGCCAATAATGGACTGAAACCTCTACAAACTGTGAGCTAAACAAACTTTTCCTCTTTTAACTTTAGGTGTTAGGTATTTTGTCTCAACAATGAGAAAAGTAATTAAGACACTTGGTTATTTTAATTTATAAGTATTTACTTTTTCTTGATGCTATTGTGAATGATATTGCTTTCTTACTTTCCTTTTCAGTGAGTTTATTATTCACTGATTTTTGTGCTTTTATTTTGAAGCCTCTTAAATTGCTAAACTTGGTTATTAATACTAGGAGTCTTTTGGTGGAATTGTTCGAGTCTTTTATATAGAAGGCCATGTCATCTGCAAATAATAATTGACTTACTCATTCCTTACACATATCCCTTTCTTTTTCTTGCTTCATTGCTCTGGTTAATGTTTTGAGCAGTGTGTTGAACAGGAGTGGTCATAGTGGCACCCTTGTCTTATTTCAGATTGTAGAGGAAATTTTTCAGTTTTTTCCCATTTAATATGATGTTGGTTATTTGTTTTTCACAAATGGATTTTATCAGATAGAGAGAAGGCCCCTTTTTACTTATTTTCCCAGGATTTCTAACATAAATCAGTGTTGGATTTTGTCAAAATCCTTTTCTGCATCTAATGATCATATGGTTTTTGTCCCTATTGTCTATGTGGCATATTACAGTTATTAATTTGTTTATGTTGAACCATCCTTGCAACCCTGGGATAAAACCTATTTGTCAAGATGTTTGATGTTTGTAATGATTTGTTGTGGTCTATTTGCCAGGATCTTACTGAGAATTTTTGCATGTGCTCTTTAAAGAGATCTGTAGTTTTCTGCCTAATTGGGTTCAGAGTGATGTAGAGTTATAGATATAACTTTGGGAAAATTCCTTTACTTTCAGTTGCACTTTAGTGTTTGAGGAATATTGATTTGGCAACCCCTTTAAAGATCTTGCAGAACTCAGCAGTGAACCCACCAGATCCTGGCATTTACTTAGTTGTCAGTTTTTTTTCTTTGTATTACTGATACCTTAATTTCATTGCTTGTTATTAGATTGTTCAGAATTTTTATGTCTTCTTGGTTCAGTTTTGGGAATTCACATGAATCTAGGGATCTTCTCATTTCTTCAAGATTTTTTAATGTTTTGGAGTACAATTTTTCAGTAGTTACAATCTTCCAGATTTTGATGGTGTCCATTTCTGACATGTGCAGCAGCTAATCAAATGACCAATACAGAACCTTTATTCCAAAAACACATTGAAGCAACTGTCAGATATTTAAGTTTAGTAGGCATTTAAGATTCCTTAGATTTGTAGTTTTTAGCCATTTTATAAATTAATAAGTTATATAACTTTAACCAAAATCAGCTAAGTAAATAAATAATTAAAAAAATATAAGCTTGATACATCAGAAGTTTTGCTCTATTAGGGCACTGGAACATTATTCAAAAATAATAGAACAATGTGATGAATTGAGTCCCAGGAATCTGAAATTAGTTAAGAATATTCTATCATTGTTTCCCAATGCTAAACTTTACAGCACTCTAGTATGAGCCATGGGTAAATTTAAATGCAGATATAAGATAAATGCCATAATTGGAGTTCTTACCACAGTAGGTATTTAATGAATTGATCCATGCAGATAGTCAAGCTCCAGAATGTTATTTCTATACCTAAGCTCTATCTTCTGCACTTCTCAACTATTCTAGAGGTGCAGCACTGGATTTCAAGTGTTGCTCTATAGGCCTTACTTTTTTTTTAACCCCAAGAAATTTGTTCTAGTCCAGGGAAAGCTTCTTTTTTTTTTTAATTTGGGTCACTAAGAACACAAATTTACATTTGTCTACCCAGGCTAAAACTTTCAGAGGTTAAAGTACTCATGGAAGAGTCAGTAAAATACCTTTAAACTTTAACTGGAAAGTACTGCGTTTCCTGAAATAATGCAGGAAGGAAAAGATTTACTCACATTGCAAAGATGTAGGATCTCCACCATTAGATTATGTGATTGATGAGGGAGGGGTCTTTACTGTTAATATTCTCAGCACTTAGGAAAGTGCTAACAGTAAGCTCTCAGTGAATATGCAGAATTATGGTTGAGTATCAGGAACTAATAGTTGCAACAAATTTTTAAAAAATTACTTATATCTAAATAGGGATTAATTTTGGGCAGCAAATTCAATTATTTTAGGTTTCTATGTGACAGAATGTTTTTTTTTTGGCCTGTGGTTAATATTAGTTCTGTAATTCCACTATTACCAGACAGGATTCTGGAACTCCTGGTGATCATTATCACTACCAGTATCTTTTTGGAAAACTGTTTCTGCCCTGGAAAATGAGGGAAATGTTTTCTAGGAGTGCTGAAATTGTTTCTATGCCTACTATGTAATGGTTTCTCAATATCTGGTGAATAAGTGATTCCATATTGTACTGATGACCTCACATTTAGCTAATGAAAGACTGAAAGATATTACTCAGAGCTTTTATTTCTAATTAGCAAAAATTTCTGACAACTATTTTAGTAAACACTTTCAAACAGAAATTTTACTCAAATATGAAACATTTTCACATATCTCATTTAATCGCAGCAAGTCCCTAATTCTCAGACACTATAACTTTTGCTAGTCATGCATCATCACTATCTCCAACTTTTTATGACTCCAAAAAATAAGTAATAACTTAATAGCTCAGCCAAATGATTTTATTTCGTACATCTGACTGGAAATCAATACATATTAACTGAATTAAATTGCTCATATCCAACAATTTTGACCTTCAAAAATAGGAATTTTAATGGCACAAAATAGTGTTTAGTACTAAATAGTTTTAGAAATAATGCCAATAAGAGTTTCACAGCTTCCTAATTTTTATTTTTATCATCTCCTGCCTGTTAGGGGTGTGGTGGGTACTCTTCCAAAATTTCTCAACCTTGTGTGGCAGATATTTTTCTTGTCTCTCTTACATAGCAAATTGCAATTTGCAGTTGAAACAAAATTGCTACTTTTGTATTGCTAATTATTTTTGTTTTGGCTTCTCAGCAGGGCAAGGGTCGCCCCAGTTTGCCCTAACAGGATAGGACGAGTAATTAAACGTTTTATAAAGAATATACTAGAAGTTTCTTGATGTTCCGTGATTATTTAGGTCAACTCAACATTCATAACATTTAATAGGGAACTGGTTAAAAATACAGGGTTCTGGACCCTAACCCCAGGGATTTTGATTCAACAGGTTGGGGTGGGGCTCATGAATTTTACTAACAAATAAATTAGGTTGGGTACTACACTTTAAGAACCTTTGAACTGGGTAGAGACTTACTTGTAATAAATTTCTTTTTGGAGGTGGGTCTTTGAATAAATAAAACTTAAATTCATGAGGTATGAGATAAATTTCCTTAAATCAAAAGTACTTTCTGGCTAAGTTATCACACTAGCTCGACTATAACTGTAAACTGGATCTGCTCTGACACAGTTGCTACAGCCTACAAGCCCAGGATAAGTAACTGCGAGGAATTTATTCGCCGGCCCCTTTAGTCCCAGTGTTTCGGCCTCTCAGCAGGGCAAGGGTCGCCCCAGTTTGCCCTTGGAGCTCCGGGGAGGGCTCGCGTCACCTGCGTTATCTACGGCAAGGCGTCCAGCGGGACAAACTGCGAGGAGGCTCTAGATAGGGAAGCGAGCGGGCCCCAATCTAGGAGACCGAACGGAACCGCAGAGGCGGCCCGCCCAGCCCTCGCCAGGCCTCTCGCCGGGCTCCGTGTGCGACGTCAGGGCGCCCAGCGGGCGAGAGCGCGCCCCCGAGGCTGCCGCGGCAGGTTCCGACCCGCGGAGGACCTCGCGGCCGGCCCGGGCCTGTCCCGCCGCCCCTCAGAGGGCCCTGCGGCCGGAGGACCGACCCACGCCGCGTCTGCCCGCCAGGAGAGGCAGCGCGGCCGCGCCCTCATCTCGGCCGGTCGGGTCCTCTCGCTTCGAAGATGTCCGCCAAGGCCGACGTCGGTTTGGTGCGCGAGGCTTCGAGGCAGATCGCGGCCGGTGGTTCTGCTGGTAAGGCCGCCCCGTCGCGCCGGAGGCGAATCGCTTTCCTCACCTGGGGCCCCGAAAACGATTCTCGGACGAGTGTCCCAGGCGCGCGTCTGCCGTCCCGCTCCCAGAACCGGAGCGCGGGAGCAAGGGAGGCCGGGAGCGGGCGCCGGGTGCCCCGGGAAAAGTCGCCGCGGCGCCCGCTGAGGCGGCTCTCGGGTTCCTGGCCTTCTGTGTTCCTAGGGGAGGACCAAGTTCCGCCGCGTTAGAGAAGGCTTTTTGGTTTGGTGGCTATTTTACTCGCAAACGATCCCTGTTCCGTCTTTCTTCAGGTTTGCTTCCAGTTGTAGACTCTTTCTTCCAAGTTAGCGCGGCTGTTCATAAAAATCCTGCCTCTCAGCGAAGTATTACGTCAGAACTCTACAGAGCTGCTCATTGCCTACTGTGCTTGCTGGGGGATATATTCACGCAATAAATAGACGTATTAAAATTAAATGCATGTTAGCACATATAAACACCATTGATAGGGGCTCACATTAATTTATGGAGAGTTATGCTGTGGGGAAAAAAAAAATCCAGAAACCAGTTTTGGAAATGGTCACTTAAATGTGACTAGAGAAAGTTTTCATGAAATTATGTATACGAATTTCAAAGATATTTTAAAATATAAATTGTAATTTGAAAATTTAATACCAGGTACTGCGATACATTGTTACATAATTTAAATAACTACCATAATTAGCCTATCACCACGAAACATTTTTATAAGTACAAATATTTTAATAAATTGTATGATGGTAACATCAATAAATCATATTAAGGTAGTGACTAGAAAATGTCTAATGTTTAGTTTTGACTAGTTAAATTAATTTTGAAGCAAATTAGAAATTTTATAGGAAGTTACTACAAGTTATAACTAGTTATTATTATATTATGAATTACTTTCATCTTAGGGATCCAACAATTAGCCGAATAGGTCAGTTACACTCTGGACACTTTCCTAAAGATGATATTTCATCAGTATGACAATTGATTGTTTTGTTTTTTGTTGTTGTTATTGTTGTTGTTCTTTTTTCCGGTACCGGGAACCGAACTCACGACTTTGTGCTTGCCAGGCAGGCGCTTTGCCGCTGAGCTAAATCCCCAGCCCCAGTATGACAATTGAGACATTCAATACTTACAGGTGATTGTTCATTTGCCCTCCATTAATATGATGTCAGGGAATATGATGCCTACTTTTAAAATTTCTTTGCAGTAGTGATGAAGAACTTGCACCAATTTATTCACAAATTTTTGTGAACTTACTCAGTGTTCAGTGCTTGGCTGGCTGTACCTCTCACGTCCCAGTCTCTGACTCTGATCAGACAAAACTCAGCTGGTTCAGACTGAAAGTGAAGCTACTTGGTTAACATCCTAAGCTATGGCCAGGGGCTGGAGATACAGCTCAGCAGCACAGTGCCTGTCTGGCAAGCACAAGGTCCTGAGTTTGAATCCCGGTACCAAAAAAAATACAACTAAGCTATGGGCAATGACACATTAGCATCTGTATATTGGTTTAGATGATCATAATATGTACTAGGCACAGCTACACTCAAAGGATATTAAAAGTGGGTCAAATTCTAACACTGTTTTGTTGGGCAAGTATGTAGCATAGATATAATGTGTGAGTCCATCATATATTCTTGAAATTGTGAGTAATATAAACATGAAATTGGCATATTTATGAAATAAATTTAAACTGGTAGCATAGTTGATATCTATGTACTATGGAGTACCAAGTACAACTATTAATGATACTTTCATCATAATAAAAAAAGAGTCATATTTTCTTTTACTTGGTTGAAAGCATTTTACAAACTTTTATATTTATTACAAGTGTAATAAATGCATATTATTCCCATCACATATACTAAATCAAGGACCATTGAAGAAATCAATACACAGAAGAGGTAGAGTTTTGATAAAAAGAATACATTTGAATTTCTGGTGCTGGAGTTTCGGTTAGTATCATTTTTAAGTATGTATTATGTGGTCTTTTGGTTTTAAAGGTCAAAAGTATTCTAAGGAATGTTCTCTTAATAGAAAAATAAACTGGGGAGAAATACCAGAGTTTCCTATAGAATTTGAGGTCTGGGATGCATTCCTGTGACAAACTGGGATCGGGGACTGGAGCACCGAGGAGGGGCTCAGGAAGTGAATTCTTTCCATCTCTTATTTCTTGTTTTCATCAAATGGTCAAACATCCCTGAAATATAAGGTTGATGGCTACTACTGTTAGGATGGGGTGCCACATTTCCAAATGTGGAATCCCAGGATTCCTAGTGCCACAGGCAATACTGAAGAGGCTAAATGATAGCTGATGAGTGCTGAGCACAACAGCGCAGGAGTTTTATAGACTTATACTGAAACTTGAGGCTGTAACCTAAGCGGGAGTGAGGTGGAAAGTCTCGTGCTTAACTGAAACTGAGGCAATGGGTGAAAACCAGTTCTGTGGCAGTCTTCCACTAAATGGAGGGAGGGACTGCTTCTCAGCAGCTCATCGAGTAGCTTATCTCCCCTTTTACTGGGAGAAATCACAGGACAGTGTACCAAGACTCAGGGCACACTGTGGTTGAACCTTGCTTAGCCTGGCTTACATGGAGTACATGGTTGTCAGGTGCCAACCTAACAGTTGGAGCTATTTCCTGATGTGCACCAAGCAGTCTTGTCACAGTTAACTGCTGTTTACGGTCTTCAATCCATGTGGTGGAAACTGGTCCCATAAAGCTTCTGAGGACACGTGCTCTCAACTTTGTTTCCTTGAAGGGTGTGAGAGTAACACTTGTTTTTTTCTTTTTTTTTCAGTTTTGGGCCCAAATCCTACAGATAGACTCAGAATAATCCAGCATTGGCAGGGGTCCCATCTCTACACCAATCAAGTGTAGCCAGTCTTCGTGTGGGTGGGGGCCAGGATCTCAAGGGAGAACTAGAGAAACTAGCTATATCTTGAGAGGGGCAGTAGATATCTTCTACAACAATATACAGATATCTCATATTACAAGACCATTTCATTCAAAAGACTAAACAGATCAATGCCTGACAGGTGGTTGGACAATACACATAAAGTTGAGCCCTGAGTTTGCAGTTGTAGCTGTTATATGTAGATTTGCTACAGTGACAGTTTTGTCTTACATGAGGAAAAAGGTCATGAAAAGTTAGTGTGTACTGGATTTTTGTAGAATTGGCCATGTTCTTAGCCTTTCAGTTCCATTCAATTGGTCATTCTCCCCCAAATCCCCCTTTGGCCACTAAAGCCTTTCAAGCTTCCTCATGAGGCCACCCTTAACTCCTGTCCACATTGAATTCTCTTCCATCACAGAAACTGTTGAGCCCTTTTCTCGCCTCCCAAAATCATACTCGTGTCCCTCCATGTCTGCCAGTCTCACTCAGCATGCTTCCTAGAGATCATTCTCTTATCTGTACCACATACTGTGCTGGCAGGACACTGACTTACCTTCTCAAATCCGTAGGCTGCTATATCTTCCTTTAGAATGCCACACTGTGGACTGCTATCTTGGAGGCACATCCCTGCCACAACTTTATTAATTACTTTGTTTTACTTTGTGTATCTCAAAGTTCACTGAAGTTCATTGCTTTCATTGGAATTATTTGTTTTAGTCTGTGATTTCAGTTTCAAGTAATAGCTTAAGATTCAGGTGAGTCGTAGTATCCAGTGGTGAGAGTTTTAGGAAGCTTAGCAAGGCCCAATACTCCTGGTGATATAGAGGCAAAGATGAGAAGAGGTCATTCTTCATACTCAAAGTGTGGTCCCTGGATGAGACAATAAGGAGCACCTGGAAGTGTGTTCAAAATGTAGGATCTCAGGCCTCATTTCTTCTTCATCTACTACATCAGAATCTTCATTTTAGAAAGAGTGCAGGTCCTTGGTTTGTACTTTAAGGTTTTAGAAGCAGTGTTAGAAGACTTTTGAGCAAACAGATTTCCGACAGTGGGAAGATCTAAGCCAGATTACAAGGAGTTGCAAATAAAATCTTTTGACCTTTATTGCTGATCACACAGGTAAGAATGAATTCTGTACTCATTATGTGCCCTCGATTTACACTTTTGCCCTTGTTCTACACATTCCATTTGGCTTCTGATAAATAAGTCTACTTACCTTTTTTATGTGTGTGTAGTACTAGAGTTTGAAATCAGGCCCCTCATACTGAACTGAGTCCTCTGCCCTTTTTTATTTTGACCAGGCTGGGTTCAAACTTGTGATCCTTCTGCCTCAGTCTCCTAGAATGCTGGGATTATAGGTGTGCACATCACTCTTGAACTTGCTTTATCTTTTTACCTTTATTCCCAGTATCTGGAATGTCTTCTCTTTATTATGTCTTCTTATTGAAATTCTACACATTTCCCAAGGCCCAACTTGAAAAATATTCTCTGGATAAATATTTCCCAGATGGCTCCACAGCTCTGCCCACCTTTACCTTTCTCATTACCACATGAATGATACAAATAATAAAACTAGCTAATATCTATTGAAATCCATATTAAATACCAGAACCAGTTTAAGCTTTACATGTATTAACATTTTTAATCCTTCCTCCAGCTTCATATGTAAGCACTGTTTTATACATGAAGAACTGATACATAGAGAAGTACTTAACACATTCATGGTTTCCCAAGCATGCAACAATTTTTAGAGCTGGGTGTGGTGGCTCATGCCTGTAATCCCAGTAGTTGGAAGGCTGAGGCAGGAAGATCATTGGGAGTTCAAGATGAGCCTGAGCTACAAAAGTGAGCTCAAGGCCAGTCTGAACTGCATAATGAGACCCTGTCTCAAAAACACAAAAAAAAAACAAACACACACACAAACAAAAAAACCCCCAGGTTTTATAGGAGGTTGATTTTAGGAGAGGGACTAAGAATATTATTCCCATTATTAGACATATTTGGAAGTTGGTGAGATCAACTTTATTACGTCTTATTCTCTCTGTAGATTTTTTTAACTTACAGTCTTTTTATTTACAAACACA